GGTTAACAGACACCACAAGGTGTCAATTCACCATATACAGTATTTGAGAGTGTACATTTAATATAAAACTCTGTAGTGTTGCGTTAACACTGCTCAGTAGTTAGTAGAAAAGTATAATGGAGTCACCCTTCACACACCAGGAAGTACGTCTCAATCATGGTGTCGATTTTTGGCCAATAACACAAACTTAAACTTGAACAACTTGATCAAACTGAACAACAAAACTAACCAGAAGAACTCACTTTTACCCTGATAAACGTCTTTAATAGTCATAAACATACAAACACATCATTTCTGCAAGATTTCTCAGCAAGGATTGCTGGATAAATACTGGTCTGTCTGACATGAGGTGGAAGAGGGGCTTTTCCTTTCAACACTGCATGGTGTCATAAAACAACACTGTTAAGTGTTATATAAGACTTAACTGTGGGCGGAGCTTATTTAACACTGTCCAGTGTTGAGACAACACTGAGAAAATCAACACTGTGAATTAACACCAACACTGGGTGTCAATTTACTCAGAAAGTGTTAAAATAACACCAGGGTGTGTTTAAATCAACACCCAAAAGTTTGACAATGAAATTTTAACACTCTGTATCAATATTTAGCATCAATTAGTACCCAAACTGTAGTGCTCATACTTGAATTGAGAAAGACGATAGGGACACTCCTATGTAATAACAAAACAAATTTTATGAAACTGACTGATTCAGACATTTTGGTGATGGCTAATGCTGATTAACATACAGAACCCTATAATAAAAGTAGTGATAATAAAACAATATCAAAAAACAAAAATAACACATTCTGCCTCCTGTTTAAAACAAATATTATTTTTGACATCTCTGACTAACCAAATTTTTAAACCAATTTTATTTTCACTTTCAAAGTTTTATTTTCAACTTCTTGTAGTTTTAACTGTGCTGTGTGTGTGCATAGAAATGGTTGTTACCAGCTTCTAGCCAAGACTCTGACATTTCTGTAGATACCAAACATGTCTATGTTTAACTAAAAAAAACTTCTAGTAATTAAAGTAGAAAACTTGGGGTTTGGACCTAAGAGATGAACGGACCAATTGGCGGGCCGAACTTTGGTCACTTGCGTGCCGGATGTGGCCCGCGGGCCGCCAGTTGAATAGCCCTGCAGTACAGTGAGAACGCAAGATTGCAGGTGGAGGGCAGAAAGTGAAGTAGCGGAGGATTTGCCATCTAAAAAAATGCCCATGTTTTGTGAAATTTGCGGCTGCTCCAATCGTTCTAAGAAAAAGCTAAAAAGGCATTATTGAGTATCAAAGATTGTCAAACACAAAGGTGAGAAATGTAGAAAGCTCACAGAACACTGATGCAATAATGACATTTTAAACCTACGTCTACTGTCGGGAAGAACAGAGTTTGCTGATGCCCGTGTCTGCAGTGACCACTTCAACAGCCTAAAAGGTCTCCACCTATTTTTTCCTCAGATTGTTTGTATTCCTGCAGTGGTCCTGCRCAGAGCCCAGAGAGTCGCTGCTGTCACAATCTCAGATACCGTCCACGTTGCGCGTCGTCATAAAAAGTTGCAGAGACACGAGACGAGACAACTCCAGCTCAAACTGATCATTTCCATTTGTTGCGCGCACGAGTTTAGTTTATTAGTTTATTAAGCAGTTTTCTGACGAGGATGCGCTACGTGCGAAACATCACATGCAAACGACCGGAGCACCTGTCAGAGCACTGTTAAATGAAGGGAAAATGCGACTATTTTTCCAGTGGGGTCGCAGTTCAAAATTTATAACAAAGACCTCACAAGATGTTAGTGCTTGGAGAAAGTACTCACAGCTACTACCAGTCTGTATCTGAAGCCTTGTTTGTTTTCTCTGATACTCTCACTAAAATAAATCTCTGGACCCGACTGCATTTGATTCAGCCTCAGTCACTTCTTCACCTCTGTGTGTGAATCTGTGGCATCTAACTTTATATTGTGGTTAAATTGAATATTCTCACTGAATTAGTTACTGTAATGTGGATCTGAACAAAATATTAAAGTCATGAAACTATTTTACTAACTTGATTTATAGTTCTAAACATATTCAGTGTTTTTACATACTGTTTTCTCCAACATTAATTACCCACAGCCTAGATCACCAAATATGCTAAATAGATGATGATGTCATTTAGTAGCGTTTAGGACAGCCAATAGCGACTTTTCTTACTGAGGAGTTGCAACAGTGGTCAGAGGCTTGAAATCTCACTCCAAGCTCAGATCAAAACTTGCGAGCCCTGTAAATTACCGACACTGCCATGCGATCACAGTGAGCTGCAATGACTTCTTCATCCTCCTTCGCAGTAATCCAGGACTTTAGAGGTGTTTCATTTGGTCTCTGAGAGCGGTTCACCTTGAAACATAAGCGACTGTCAGGCTAACGTCATTAAGTGTTTAATGTTTGTTGACATTAGCTGCTACTGCTAGCATCTTAACATCTGAAACAATACAAGAACAAACTATCACCCCAGCAAAGACACAATAATTGTAGTGGAGCTGTTTGGTACCGAGGTTGTGGACCACTGACAAAAAAGTTACACACCTTCAGAAAATTGTAGGCTTTATACACTGTAAAAAATGAAATGCTGGATTTACTTAACCGTGTTATGTTACCTGGTTCCACTTAACTGAGTTGAGTAAATTCAAAGCAATATACTAGTTTTTTAACTAAAGAACATGAGTATGTTGCTTTGAATTTACTCAACTCAGTTAAGTGGAACCAGGTAACATAACATGGTTAAGTAAATCCAGCATTTCATTTTTTTACAGTAAGATGTCTGAAGACCAGATAGTTTCTGATATTGACAGCCTTTATTGTTGGCAAATCTTTAGGTTCTGTCAAAAACTCATTTGTCTTCATGAGGTATGGGTCAGGTCTGACATATAACTAGCTGCTGGTACCTTTGTCTTGCAACTGGATCTAAATCCAAACAATGCAAACTCTACAACCGTTTCCTCCATGCATAATTTACTTCCTGCCATCAGTTTGAAATTGCACCACCTTCACCTGTCATCAAAACCATATGACTGAAACCCATAAAAAGAGGGATTGTTAGGTTTAGGCTATAGAAATGAATGGGAGTCAATGTAAGGATACAAGTTAATGACTGCGTGTGTGTGTTTGGTGTCTGGTTGGTATCATTGTTTCCTTTTTGTCTTTGTCGCTCTCTGCTTTACATTCTCTCTGACCCCCTGTCCTCCAGACTGTGGAGAACTGCGTGTGCATCCTGAGGAACCTGTCGTACCGCCTGGCTGCGGAGACGTCCCACACGCAGCAGGGTGGGTCGGAGGAGCTGGACGGTCTGTTGTGTGACACTGGAGGCAAAGACGCAGAGAGTTCGGGCTGCTGGGGCAAGAAGAAGAAGAAAAAAAAGGGGCATGACCAGGTGAGCTCCACAAATCATTGCCTCACCTGAACAGAAAGGTCCAAATGTGGGCAGAGTTTTCTTGTTTTTCCAGTTTCTCTTTTTTTTTTCTTTTGTCGACACTTATTATGGGGAATTAGAACAACGAGGACAAGTTGCTGAGCAGAACTCTGACCAAACTTCACACAGCCGTTGGCCTCTGTTCAGCCTGAGCCGCAGGCTGTTGGGCTCGGGTTGTCAGCAAATAAGTTTTTATTTATTCATGAACGTCTCCCGAGTTCCTCCAGACTTTTTCTCCTTTTGAAACTTTTTTTTCTAAAACAGTTGATATGCTCTCCAAAGTTTAGTGAGTAAAAAAACAAGTGGATGTTGGTTTCATTCAGGGAGCAGTATGTGACTGAAGAAGCATGTTAAAAATTATTTCATATTGGATTTTGACCGAACGGCTCTGCATTTATGAGCTAAATACTTTATCAGGGCACATACGTGGCTGATGTAACATCTGTGTAAGTCAGTGTTCGCTCAGAGAGAAAACGATTGTAAAAGTGTTTGTATAAATTGAAAAATATCTGCATATCAGGTGGGAGAGCAACAAAGGAAGGAATGAAATGGAATGAAAACCACTTACAACATTGAATGGCAAATTTTAAACTAAGATCTTTTGTGTATGTGTTGGAGATAAGTCTTAGCTACACAGGTATTAGTTCAGTATCTTTAAAACGGACTGTGCTGTTTCCATTTTTGTGTTTGCTCAGGTCAATTAGCTATGGCAGCCATGTTTAATTATGTTTACTCCAAAAGTAAATCACCTGCAGGTGCACAAATAATTATTATCTTCTTAGAGTTTCATTAATTTTTTTAGTACAAAAATGTCCAATCCTGACTGTCTTGTGCTGCATGTAAGTAGGGGTCTCTGAAGTACATCAGGGTTTTTTGGCTGTGTGGGCAGATTTTGTCTTATCTGTGCTTGGTGGAGCTCTTCTGTGTGGGCGGGGTTTTACAAAACAGGGGAGTTTCTTGGCTTTGCGGGTGGGGTTTATCCTAACTGTGATTGGTCAGGTTTATTTAGCTTGTGGGTCAAGTTAAAAGAGGAAGTAATGGTAATGGTAAAATGATTGTGAACAAGTAACTATAATTTATTGACTTTAGATTTGGTGCGGCAGCTTAGGGCTATTTTGACCAAGCCAAATTATTACACATCCATCTTAGGGTTCACATTTCGTGCAGCTAGCACCTTCCTATCTCAAGTTATGACTAAAATGGATATTTATTTTAAAGTTACAGGCACTTTTCGGCTGTTTTGACCGAGCTTCGTGCCCCCCACCCACCCCCACTGTCCAGCTTTTAACCACCTTAACCATTACGGTTTCTTCAAACCCCATCCAAATTAGTCTATCCAACAAATCACATCTTTAACAAACTCCTCCCACAAACCAAGAAAGTCCCACTTAGTGACAGCAAAGACCCCCCTTCAACACACCTGATTTAATGCTTGAATCACCTCTTCATGTTCTGCAGAAGCCTGTTAATTAAGCATTCATCAAATCAGGTGTAACAGAGCAGAGAAAACTCTAAAACAAGCAGAATAGTGGCTCAGTGACCAGAATTAGACACCACTGGTCTAGTATAAGTAACTAGTAGGATCATTGTAAGTACCAAGATTATAATACCTAGTAAGTACCCAGTATGTGTCAGATTTTATTATGAATTTCTACCACTTTTTCTTCTGCTTTTGATTACTCTTGTCTCTGCACATGAATTTTACAGTTGATAACATTTTAACGAGCACATAAAAATATGTTTACTGCCCTGTTAATATTTAGTTTGTTTTGAACTGGGACTCAGTACACTTGTAAATGTTCAGACAATCATAATCATTTACTTACACATGTTTACATCTCTGCTGCAAAAGATTTTTGTTTCAATCTGGAAGGAAGGTTTATTCTGTCTCTGAAACATTTGCTCACTTTTCCCTGGTTCTTTCTGTTCGAGATAGAAATACTTATTACATACTTAAATACCAACTTATTTTATTCATTTAATTCATTAATTTCATTCATTAAAAACAAAACTATAT